AAGGTCGCAGTGACCTGGTTTTGGTACTCTGCACACCTTCTCCCCAAGATGTGTAAGTACACCAAGTTTGGTCACGCTAGGTCTATTAGGGGTCGAGTTATAGAGCGGAAAGGAAATTCTCTGCGGCGGACCGAGCGGCGGTGGCGGCTGGGGAAACATGAAACCATAATATCCCCGCCAACTTCATCGCGGGGGATACAATTATACACTGGCATGTTATGACCCAATGGTTTTTCTGGTCACGTACATGGTTAGCTGATATGGAAAGGGCAACGCTTTTGTTGTTGGGAGATTATAGTATTCTGAGCAAGCTATATTCTGAGCGAGCAAGCGAGTCGAGAGTCCTGTCAGGTTTTGTTGGGTTTTTAGCACGTTCTATCTCGAAAACGGTTATGGTAAAAATTCTGAATTTAATAAGATAAACAGTCGAGGTACGTGCCTCTCTGTCTAGACTACAAAGTTTGATTTCATAAAATGATTTATATTAAAAGTTATGATATCTGAAAGTGGCTACATTGACTCGAGTGAAATGATGGTTGCTCAAATATAAACAATATGGCGGCTACGAAACCGCAGTGAAAAGCGTTTTTCGAGTTGTTTCTTCGATGAGCAAATATAGGCTTGATACATATTTTTACAGTTTTCAAAGCTAACGTTCAGTTAAAGTGTAGTGATCGAGTTATTTACTGACGTTTTTACAGTGGTTTGTTACATAAATTTACGTGGAAAGTTCGAGGGAAGCTACCTTTAACATGCTATCATTTCTGTAAAACTGCCAAGCATTCTACAGCTATATTACAGAAGTAGAGAAAAGTTCAGAAAAAATACATAGATCCAAGAGATAAAAAACAATGTAGAATCGCAACAAGAACACCGTTTAGAAGAGAAAATAATAAATATGAGCATTTACCTTTGACAGTACAGTAGAATTACACTCTTGCAGCGCTTCTATCAAACTGAGGAAGTGTAGGTTGACCATTTCTGCAAGCTGAAAAGTACCAAACGGCTTTTAAAGCATGACAGATTTATATAAAATGATATATACGGAAGAAGTACAATTAAATTGAATGTTAATTCACCAAACGGACCTACAAAATTTAATACATCCAATTCTATTACACAACTATTTATGCCACAAATTTAATGGTTTAAGAGAAGATTTATTATGTTTAAGAGTACGAATAAATGATATATTTACATATTTATAAATACATAATCTGATATTCATGCTATCAAAAGCAGATAAATAGAGCAGATAATAAACAAATAATTATATCTATTATCTACTGATGATAATATGCAAATCGTGCCGAGTTATAACTGTCATAGCTCATAACTGTCATAGCTGTCATAACAATTCCAAGCTATTCCTGTCATAACGTCAAAATTTAACCACACGAACCATCAACACTCTAAACTCCAGAGAGCTGCATGTTTCAAGCAAACTTTTGAAAAAACTAGTGCATGTAGCAATAACAACTATCATGGCTCGCATGGTCAGGCATACTACAACACAATAATATTAGCTGACAAACCGCACACACAAAATAAACATGGTCATCGCAATAACTAAAAGCGCATGCATTTATATATATACATAAGATTAATATTCGTTTCCATTATTATTGTTTTCGACAAGCACAAGCATGTTTCTAGTCATTTTATATACGTTGCAAACAATCATGCTCAAGCAGTGCAAAATTGGTAAGATTTTATCTAGTTTAAACTCCTCAAACCTCTGATCGATCCTGATCGGCAAGAAAAGAAAGACCCAAAGCATGATATTCATTCGTTTAAAATAATTTTGCACTAATTTTCCACACATCGGTCTACATAGAAATAGATATACGGTATATTCGTTGTTATTACATTACGAGAACGAACTGAAATGTTTCAGGAGAAATTAACTATAAATTCAAACCGTGAAGGAAAAACGCATACGTATTTGAAATCGCAATATTACTACTTGCTGCCACAAGTGACATACGAGCATTATCTTTCATGCATTAAAGTGTGAAATAGCGAGGTGCAGAGCTATTTTGCTCCTATAAAGCTTTTAATTGTTAGCAGTGAAGTGGCTTTGCTACATGTGCCAATGTAAAAATAAGCGTGTGTTTATATATATATATATATATATATATATATATATATATATATATCAAGAGTAACATAATAATCTCTATTATGTACTGTTGATATATATATGCCGTGTATGATAATGTAACCTATACGGTTTTCAAAACGTCACGAGACATTGTTCTGGACAAATATCAATGACCGGCACAAAATATCTGTCTTAATTATGATGATGATGATGGGGAAGAACATGTAGCGATATTGTTTGTGTTCCTACTGAACTAGTTACTTATCTTTGGTAAGAGACCACACCACCTATAGTAATACCACCGCCTATAAATTTAGGTTTTTAAATCAAATAATTATTATCACAGAGACAGTGTGTGAATGAATATCAAATTCTACAGTTGTCATTATCCGTAAAATCACGTAGATACGAATGTAAAATTCTGTCAATGACACAGGGAAGTATGGCCAGGAGAAACCGTTACACAACATCATAGGTGAATAATGACAAATTTTTCAAATGTGTCATTATTCCCCCCACCCCTCCCCCCGATAACATATTACAACGGAAACATATCTGCACACATGGTGTCTACGATACGTTCGCGATTGTGACTATGGGTTTATCCTAGATTCATTCTCCTATGCTCACCACTTTGGAGTGCGAGAGGAGCTGAAGAACGCCCGGAGTGACGCGTCCCCAGAAGTCCAGAATAGTCACCGAGGCGATGACGTGTTCTTCACTCTGCGGCGGATTCATGAGAGCCATCTGCTCGCAGTACATCGTCCACAGCTGCGCGAAGAGACATCGATCGACAGAGATTAGACACGGACGGTGCTACAGGCTAAATAAACGTTGACCATGACTTCGTTTACACAATACGCGTGCGTGTGAAAACGACGTCCTGACATGCGCGCGCGTGTAACAACGACGTCGTGACACAGGCGCGCATGTGACA